CCATGCAAGGTGAATTTGAGATGTCCATGATGGGAGAGCTTACATTTTTCTTGGAATTACAAATTAAGCAAATGAGTGATGGAATCTTTATAATTCAAAGCAAATATTGCAATAGTACATGAACTAGAAAATGATTTTCATGTTATGGGTAACCAACACGCATTACACTCTCATATAACACAATATATATCAAGAGCTAGTCAAGGTATCACAATTGCTCGTGGTTGCCTCTTATCCCACTCAAATAAGAGGTTTTCCACCATAACACATTGAGGCTAATGTAAAATACCATAGAGATCTTTCCACATAGACTTGAATCCACCCCCAAACAAACTATGGTATCACAATAGCTCGTGGTTGCCTCTTATCCCACTCAAATAAGAGGTTTTCCACCATAACACATTGAGGCTAATGTAAAATACCATAGAGATCTTTCCACATAGACTTGAATCCACCCCCAAACAAACTATGCATGAATGCATGGACTCCAACACATTATACAACATCCAAAATTCATAATAATGCTCATCACACTTATCACGTTAATTACTTGGCTAAAACTAAACTTTCACTCGACTAGACTATTGTGTATGGGTTACTTTTTTTTTTCTTCATTTGTATATAAATAAGGGTTTTTCAAAAGAAAAATTGCACAAATAAACATCTCAAATTTCTCTCATTCACTCTCAAAAAATTCTCAACTTCTTTTCATTCTATGGATTCAAACCAAAATTCATGGTTTAATTTAATACCAAATTATCAACAACCCACAAATCCAAATTCCCAAAATCCATGGTTTAACAAAAGTAGTTATTAATAATTTTATTACTTTTTTATTGTGCCAACAAAATATTTAAATAATGATAAAATAAAAAATTAGTTATTTTTTAAAAAATTAATTAATTTATAAATAACTAAATAAATTATTATAAATTAATAAATAAATTCATGATAAAATATAATGATGTAAACTTTTTGGTGGGACCTATTGGAAACACCTAAAGAGAGTTGCTCCATTGTAGAGATGAAGTACTTGAAAGTGTTTGTATAGGGAAGAGTAAAAGTGAATGATATGTACAAATAAATCTTATTAAAAGCACCTAAATGAAGTTGCTTCATTGTAGATGCTCTTAATTAGCTTCAAGCCCAAATAAATGACCATGAAAAACAAAAAGTCTGGAACAAAACACGATCCTCCTTCAACTCCATAATATAGTGCGAAACATTTGTACTTTTAAACCAGAAATATGAGAATGGTTTATGTTCCGTATCCTTTTCTGTAAAAAGGGTTTTAGCTACCCCTTGTACCTATTATATTTATATATAATCTTCATTTTGGCTGTTAAAAAAATAATACGATGCTTGGTCATTGCATCCAATAACGTGCTTATCTAGTAATGTGTTTTATCCTTTTCATTTTTAAACACAATCAGTAAATATTTTATATATAAAAATTATTATGTTATAAATAAAATAAATAATATTTAATGTAAATAATTTAAAACATTTAATGAAATGTATTAAATATTTTTTAATTAATGTTTGTAACAGATTTGTTTAATAAAATGTTTCTAAAGTCGAGTCATTTAAATAAATAATTTAATTAAATATTTATTTAATAATCCTTTATTAAACTGAAGCTTTTTATTCAATAATATGGTTAAATTAATAAAGTATAAGGAAAATGTGTTTTAAGTTCTTCATAATTTAGTTAAAATTAGTATCAATTCTTATATTTTAATAAAAATGATTCTTTTTAATAGTGCTTTAACTTGATCCAGTCTCAATCTTATTCTTCATAGTTTTTTATCTAACAAAGATTTCTCTCGATCTTTTTAACCTTCATCTGTGTATGCATACATAACATATATAAACACGTGTTAATTTTGAATTCGTGTTGAAACCAATATGTAACAAATGGATGCTTTTTGCACTTTTTTTTCTGTGTGTGTGGATCGATTAGGTATGAAGTGTGAAATTTTGGATTATATTCTATTTAAGATGTTTCCAAAAGTTTTCTTCGGTAAAATAGTCTGAAATTTAAAATTTTTTATTCTATGGTAACAACTCGGTTTATATAAGTTGAGAAAATCTAACAAAGACTTACAAGATTTGATCCTCACCTATTCATTATTCCAAAAACAATTTCTCTAGTTGTTTTTATTCTAACTGTGAGTCCTACATGTAAGTTTTATAATTTTTTAATATTATCAATTATAAAAAATTAAAATAATTTTTGAAATTAATGATTACCACGTAATAATAGAGAATAGTATGTAATTTTTTATATAATAAAAATCTTTTTTATCCTTATAGCACTTTGATCTCCTTGAAAAAAGAATCAAAATTTCATTAACTCTTTTTTCTACTCTCGTTATCTTCCATGATGGCTAGGATTTGAGAGAATACTTTTTGTCAAGAGTATGAACATTATTTCACATCAGTGAGTATTTATAATTCATTTATAATTTAGTCTCTAATTATTTAATTGTTTATTTATTTGTTCTTTTATACATCACATGTCTTTCATGTGAGTCATACTTATTTTACATTATTTCTTTTATATTTTACATGTTTTTCACATGAGAGATACTTAGTTACACTACCATCATTTAACTTATATGTTATTTTAAAATTATTTATGTAAAGAGTTATATTTTATTGTTGTCATGTTTAATATACTTATCCGAAAATTTCGTTTCGCAGGAGTGGTTTTCTGCAGATCTCGCAAGCAGGGTGTTTTAAATTTCTCAATTTTAGATTTGCTCCACCACAATTTCAGGTTAGACCGGTAGACTAGACTTATGCAAATTGGGAATTCAAATTAACTATATCCTTAACTTTACACCGTTACTTTACTCACAATTATTTAGTTCTTATTTTACCATATTAGTTTGGTGGCACTGTTTCATTGTTATATGGTTCCATTACTTTTTATTCCAATTATATGGTACTTTTTATTTGGAGGTAACTGTGTATGCTAATTTATTAGACTTAATTATAATACCTTTTGAATTTTACTAATGCTCATAGCTTGATGTTTGACACTTTTTGACGAGTATCACATGGTAGTAGGTGTACCTGTAACATAAAAAAAACGGTGTGTAATCATAGGTCATTAGGTTGTTGATTTACTTAATCAAGTATTTTTCTTCTTTTCATATTTCATCCAAATGATACTCCAAGTGTTTAAGATATACCTTTAGATGCAAGAGGATTTTTACTGCTAGCAATCCTTAGTTTAAGATATACCTTTAGAAGTTTTCGACCTCGTAGTTTATCAAATTAGGGGAGACTTGAAAATCCACAAAATGTAAACATAAAACATGAAAATAATGAGGTTTAGAAACTCCAAAAAAAAAAAAAAAAAAAAATTTACAAAGAACATACTTTTAAAACTTCTATTATAAAACCTCCAATGTTAGCATGTTTTAAAATTTCCACTATCAAATTAAAAGGAATGTAAACATGAGACAAAAATGATTTTATTTAGAAGTTTTCGACCTCGTAGTTTATCAAATTAGGGGAGACTTGAAAATCCACAAAATGTAAACATAAAACATGAAAATAATGAGGATTAGAAACTCCCCAAAAAAAAACCATTACAAAGAACATAATTTTAAAACTTCTATTATAAAACCTCCAATGTTAGCATATTTGAAAATTTCCACTAAAAAAATACCGTTAGCATAATTTGAAAGCTTTAATTAAAACCTCTACTTTTATTATGTTTTCCTTTTGTAGTGACAATCAAATTTGAAGAACGTTATCACTACAACATAAATTTTTTTTTAACAATATTTAAAAAATATTACTTAATTGTTTATAAATATTATTAATATATAGTTTATATTATTAAAAACTTTTAATAACATTTTTATGCAATTAGATAACATTTTTCAAATGTTATCAAAATGATACTTTTATAACATTTTAATGATGTTGTTAAATTTTTGTTAACTTTATAAAAATAATAATTAATTTTAATATAAGATGTTTTAACCAATTATTATATTTTATGTCTCCTAAAATTCTACAAATTCTTTAAGAGGAAGTTGAAGACATTCTTAATTAATTATCACTAATTATATATTAACTATCAAAATTCATTATTTTAAGTATAACTATATGATTATATATATTCTTTATTAATTATTTATTTAGTCTATGTGAAACTATGAGAAACAATTAGATATGAGAAATATATACCCTTTGTGTAATATTTTTTTTTATTTGATGTGTGACTTTTGGTTTTAGAAGCAATTAGAAAAAATAATCTTGAGATAATAAAATGTTACTTATATATAGTAACAATTTTTTTAAAAAAATGTTACAAAATAATCTATATGACATTTTTTACTTATATATAGGACTTTGATTTTGAAAATATATTGGGAAGAACAATATTAAAATAACAATGTTACTTTATCTATAGTAACATTTTTCAAAAAAAAAAAAGGTACAAAATAACTTATTTATTTAGTATATAGTAACATTTTAACAAATTTAAGTAAAAAATATTAAAAAAATTAAAATATAATAGTATATGCTTCTCTAACAGACGTCAAAGATCATTTACTTATTATTATATCTATTTGAAATTTGTTAATATAGATTTATGTTCCTTTTAAATTTCTTACTCTTGTGAGATATGATCTATTACTCTAAATTTATGTCAATCCAAATACTTTTGTGTTTACGTTATTTTCTATCATTTAGATTATGAACCTCTATTTTTCTTATAAATCTACTTTAAATCATTCATTACAAATGATAAAAAAAAATGTGAATGCAATTTTTAAAACAAGAGAGATGTGAGAATACAATGAAATTTAATAAATAGGTTTTAGTGTAACTAAGATATATTTGCATACAAATTAAAAAACGTTTTTTTTTTAAATTTTTTTATTAAAAAATATTTTTTATTTTTGACAGAGAAACTTAAAAAAAAAAAATACAAGAAATTTTTAAAAACAGTTGAAACTTGTAACCATGCAAGATCATGATCCACCGGTAACACTTCCGTTGAAGATTTCAATGGTGTCACCCTGGCTAACATGGTGCCAACGGAAAGACCTATCATCGTCCATAACATTCTGCTTGTAAATGAAGAAATACCCATCTTGTGGTAGATGAAACTGAAGCCTTTGGTGCACCTTCTGCAACTCCTTCCTCAACTCTCCCACATTATCAGAAGCGTTCACTTCCACCGGAACCTTCTTCGTCCCACTCTTGGGCAACACCATCAGCTTCAGCTTCTTCACCGACGGAGACGCCGTGGGCGACGGCCGGAAACTCACGTCGATCTCACTGTTCTCCGAAATGTCACACTCTCGCAACACCTGATGATCAAGTAGCTCCGCTCCCGTTGAAGAAGCATGCAAGACCAATCGATTAACCGCCACAGACACGTTTTCCATCTCGTGGATCCTCTCCTTGAGCCTCAAAACGGTGTCGTTCACGTCCACCTCGAGAGTCACCACGTGCGTTTTGGACGCCACTTTCATGTTGAGCTGAATCTTGGTGTGCGGAGAGTTAACATTAACATTAACATTAACGTTAGCATTAACAACGTTAGCATTAACATTAACATTAACGACCTCCTTGTTCTCGTCCTTGTTGCTATCAGGGGACACGTGGAGGTGAATGCGCGAGTTGTGGAGGATTTCGACCTTCCAAGGGTCGTCACTGTCTTGGAGAACTTGGCCGTTGAGGATTAGGGTTTGCTTCGAGATGGGAATGTTTTGGTACTTTTGGACCTTCTCTTTGATTTCTAGAACTGTGTCGAAGTAACCAACTTCCATGGAGAATGATCTTCCTTTTTGGAGCTCGAACGTTACGTCCATGTTGTTGTTCAGCTTGAGTGTTGCATGTTGTGGTGTGGAACTACTTAAATGCAAAGTTTAGGGTTTAGGCTACATTTGGGATTGACTCATTCAATTTGTTAAAACAACTCGGAATAAAAATAATAGACAAAATCATAAAATAATAATAATTATTATTATTAATTTTCAAAATTATCTTTAGTTTAATTTTTTTTTTTGTTCGTATCCAGGACCGACAGCAGTGACTAATCTCCTCGCTAGGTTGGAGGCACCTCAAAGGGTGGGATAGCTGGCCCCAAGATTTAACGCGGCTGCATACACAAGGCAGGATTCGAACCCCTGACCTTGCTTAAGTGTGGATCAACCCCTACCGCTGAACCACACGCTTGAGGTTCTTTAGTTTAGATTTAAACATTGAAAAAAGCTAGTAAATTTATAAAATAAGTGTCATTATTAAAAAAAATTATATGGTTAAATAGAAATAAAATAAGATGAGTTGAATAAGACTTTGCTTCTATAGGATGTCAGATTTAAATATAGTTTGTTACTTATCGTAAGATTTCTGTTTCGGGGTGACTTAATCTTTTAATTTGAAAGATTGACTTCACCATAACCTACTTAAAATATTATTTTATATATTAATATAAAAGTTTTAGAAAGTTAAAAACACAATGTAAAACAGACTGTAAATTATGAAAAATGAAACCACTACTATTTGAGGCATGGGAAGAAGAAAGAAATAGGTAGGTTAGACTTTGTAAGAGTTGATGCGAACTTGTTTATATTATATAAGCTTATTTTTAAGATTTAATATGATTTTTCATGAAAACTTGTTTAAATAAAGTCAATATTTCAGTAAGGTAGAAAAAGTGACATAAATGTACTCCTCAATAAGCACATATATGCTTAAATTTATGCATTTCAACATGATTATTACAATATGAAAAGGTAAATAAACATATGGTTTTAATATATTAGAAAGTGTAATATAATAATATTAACAATTTTAATATTTATATTTACTTAGATAGGTCAAGGTTAAATTTAAAAAGCTTTTTGGATGGACTACATAATGATTTTTTTAACTAAATAAATTTTTATAAATTTTTTTACGTAGTTTATTTAGTTTATTTCCTAAACAAGCTTAGCCTAATTTAGTTTAAATTATATCATATGTTATTGTAAATTCTCCCAAAATCCAAATTCTGCATACCTTAAATTTGTTTCTAAGACTCAATCTCAACTTAAAAAAAAAAAGGAAGAATATTTATGAAAAAATCTGATATGGAAATATTTTTGTTTTGTTTTTAAAGTTCTTCTTTTTAACTTATCTTTAAAGTTTCTAAAAATAAATTACTTTTAAATTTTTAGTTTTCAAAAATTCTTATATACCTTTTTCCTTTTCTTGGTTAAATTTAACTTAAATTCAAACTACTCTCGATAGCCTTATATTTAACTTAAAATTCAAACTACTCTCAATATCCTTACTCTAATGGTTCGTTTGTTTTTATAGAAGTGTCGAAGATATAGGTGTCAAAGAGAAAAGATGGGAGGAGATTTCTCATTCACTCTAGGGATGACAACGGGGTCGGGTACAGGTTTCATGATACTCGTCCCCGTCTCCACGAGTCAAACTCATCCCGTCCCCGTACCTGTACTCGTCGGGTATGTGATTTTCATCTCCATCCCCGTCCATGTCGGGTATCGAGTATCCCCGTACCCGTATCCGTACCCATCAATTTTTTTTATTTTTATTTTTTATAAAAAATACAATATTTTAAAATTATTTTTTATTATTATAATTATAATTAGGTTATTTCTCTATCTCATATTATAACAAATAATCACACATAAAAAAAATATTAAAATTCTTTAATATAATTAAATTAAAAGTGGGTATTAAATTAAAAATGGGAACAGGGACGGGTACGGGACGAGTAAGTAGATACCCATACCCGTACCCATACCCGTACCCAATTTAATATATCGGATTTTACCCATATATACCCATACCCGTACCCAGTCAAATCGAGTATTTCCCGTTAAAGTCGGGACGGGTTCGGGTATTACCCATAGGTACGAGTATATTTGTCATCCCTAATTCATTCTGTTTGGGCTACAGAAAAGTAGCGATGGAAAAAAAAAAGTTGTTGAGTCCCACACAAAGATTAATCTCACCGAATGGTGCAAAGAAAAGCCAATTGGAAGATGCAAATTGCACCTTTCTCCATTATTAACCCAAATGTCAATAGTTTATAAGCACCTTAGTTTTCATTCAATAATTTAGTAATTTAATTAAATTAATTTAATAATTTAGTCAAATTAATTTAACAGCTTAATAATTTAATTAAATTAATGAGACTCATTAAAAAATTGACATAATATAATTATTATTATTTGTTTATGTTTATGTAAATATATTATTAGGGACAAAACAAGACTTTACACTATATACTTATTTATCTTTCTCTTTCACTTTTTTCTCACTTTTCTCATTCTAAACAATTTAAATTTCGAATGCTTCTAAGGTGAAGAATTTATGTTGGTGGTACATTGAGGGTGATTTTTGATAGGTAGTAATAGGTTTTTTATTGAAAAATTAAAAATTAAAAAATTCACAGAAAAATAAAATCAACACCACTAAGATGATTTCTAGTCACTTATGTGATTTTAATCTCCAACCTTAGTCTCCTCCATTTCAAAAACCTCTTCTCCAACCTTTGCTCCTCTCTCCCCCAATTTAGCAACAATAGAGGTACTACTCACACTACAATGATTTCTAGCCATCGCATGCGGTAACAACAACGCTTTTTTTCTTCTTTAACCACCATTCTCTCTATTTATAAAAAAAAAAAAAAAAAAAAGCTCCCCAACCATCATTGTCTCTATTTCAAAAACTTCTCCAACTTCTGTCTCTCTTTTTCCCCCAACCTAGAAACAATGGAGGTGTCACTCACTCGTTCCTCTTTCTCTCCCAACCTTGGAATGGTGATGTGGCCGCTCACACGAAATGGTAAAGGAGAAACATGAGATCAGATGGGTGTCATAGCAACATTGGTTCTTTTTTATTTTTTAATTTTTGTTTTTCTTAAATCAGGCCTTAAAGTTAAATATTTGACTTTGTTTAATAAAACTTGTAACAACCTGTGATATTGTGAAGGAGAATAATGGAGATATTACCATTAGTTTGTTATCAATTTGATTATATCATTAGTTTGTTATATTTAGATTAGTTTAATAAATCTATATTTTGAATTTGTATTTTAAATCTTCTGCACTCTTTTCGGATAAGATAATTCAAAGTGATTACAACTTTGTTACCACTAACATGTATTTATATTGATTATTATTCATGAATGAAAGTAAGTTCCTCATTTATAAACTTATTATGGCATTAGAGCTAAAGGAAGAGATCTCAGGGAAGAAAAATTCATCCCTAGGAAACAAGATGGAGCTCATTACACCTTCATCACTGTTCTATCTTGCAGCCTCTGATAACCCAGAAACTCCATTGGTAACAGTACCTCTAATAGGAGAATTACCGCAATTGGGCACGTTTGATGAAAACGGCTTTACGCGCAAAAAAAAATGGATTCATTGATGGTTCAATCAAGAAACCTCCAACCAAATCCTCGGAATTTATTTACTGGGAAAAAGTTGATTCCATGGTCATCGCATGGATCATTAACTCATCTGATTCAATGCTACATGGCAGCATATATCTCATGCAACCACAACAAGAGACATGTGGTTGGACTTGGAGGAGCGTTTTTCTCAAACTAACGCACCACGCATACATCAGTTATGGCGTACCTTATGTCTAATACAACAAGAACCTAATGCAACAGTGACAGAGTATTATACAAAATTTAAAGCCTACTAGATGAACTTGGTGCAACCATTACCGGCATGCATCTGTGGAGCTTCTAAAAACTTGGCGCAAAGAGAAGAGGGTCAAAATGTCCATTTGTTTCTTGGAGGAATTGATAATGATAGATACAATCACGTGAAAGCAACAATTTTGAACACAGACCCTTTGCCATCTCTTAGAAAGGTTTTTAATCATATTTTGAGGGAGGAGTCACGTGTGGTCGCTAAAAGAAGCAGAGAAGTCAAGCCATAATAAGCTGCAACATTTCATGTTATGAATAGAAAATATAAAGGACGAGATGGGCCACGACCAAAGTGTGATCATTATGGCAAAATCAGACATGAAAAGTCCAAATGTTTTGAATTGGTTGGATATCCACCAAACTGGAATTCACGAAAGTTCAACAAAAACACCAATAAGCATTCAGGAAGAGCACGTTTTGCTTGGATAGGCAACAACAAGAATCAAGACAAAGCTACAAATCTGGAAGCAGGAACCAACACTCATGCGCTACATGGAACACATGCTAATTACAATAATCAACTAGATCATATGTCCGGTAATTTTTTTAATTATAGCACACGTTGTTGGGTATTGGATAGTGGTGCCTTACACCACATGACTCCAATATTGACAACACTTCAAAATTTAAAAGAACTGGATGAGCCACTACATATCACTATACCCACTGGAGATATTATCATGGTGAAACAGAAAGGGAATGTGGAATTTGGAAATATAAAATTGATGGATGTTCTTTACATCCCACAATTTAGTTGCAATCTGATTTCTATACATAAGTTAACTCGTGATTTGAATTGTATGGTAACATTTTTTGTTGATAATTGTATGATACAGGACAAAGTAACGAAGAAGACGATTAGGTTAGGTGATCAGTGTGATAGGGTCTATGTGCTCAAAGTGGCAAGTCAAGGATCTTCTTTAGCAACTCAGTTTCAAAATGCTAGTACTCTTTGGCATGCAAGAATGGGTCATCCATCTCATCAAGTGTTATCCAAACTTTCTAATCATTTGAATTTTCATTTCAATGCAAATAAGTTGGAGGGTTGTGATGTGTGTCACAGATCTAAACAATGTATGCTTCTTCTTTTTTTAGTAATAATAAAGCAGATCAAGCATTTGAATTAATTCATTGTGATTTGTGGGGTAAATATCGTACCAATTCACACAGTGTTTCACAATATTTTCTTACCATTGTTGATGATTTTACTCGAGCAGTATGGGTTTACCTTATAAAAGATAAATCGATAACAACAAATCTTATTGTCAATTTTTGTAAAATGATATATAGAGAGACAATTTATAATGAGAGTGAAGATCATTCGAAGTGATAATGGTACTGAGTTTATCAATTCAAAGTTTCAATCATTTTGTTGTGTAGAGGGAATTATCCATCAAACATCTTATGTTGCAAGACCACAACAAAATGGTAGGGTAGAACGCAAACACAGGCATATTTTGAATGTGGCACGTGCACTTAAATTTCAAGCTAATTTACCATTGTCATTTTGGGGGGAATGCATTCTTGCTGCTACACACATCATCAACAGGACACCTACGGTGGTAAATAGAGGGATAACACCCTATGAGATGCTACATGGAAAGCCACCACCATATAATCACTTACGGGTATTTGGGTGTTTGTGTTATATGAAAACTCCTTTAAAACCAAATGATAAATTTGCTGCACGAGCTAATAAATGTGTCTTTGTTGGATATCCACAAAATCAAAGGGGTTGGCGAGTGTATAATCTTGATACCCGTGAATTTTCTGTTTCTAGGGACATCATATTTTATGAGAATATATTCCCTTATGCTACACTTGACAACAACTCCAATACCCATACGTTTTTACATGTGACACCCATTCTTGATTCAACAAATTGTGATCAACATGTGATGATTGAGACAACACCACGTGCCTTGGTTCCAATTGATCAATGCGTCGAGCAGGTTGATATTGACATATCACATGAGCAGGTGGAGGAGTCTTCAGCAGCAGAATGCAATCCCCCACCAACTATAGAACAAAATTCACCGCCAGTTACACCTCGTTTAAGGCGACCTCTCACATATCTTCAAGACTATTATTGCCACAATGCTGTCCAAGATCCCCCAAACACATCATTTAACTCAACTTTGACTTCGGGTAAGCCTTATCCTATTGCATAATATATTAGTTATGATAATTTTTCCTCATCACACAAGGCTTTTCTTTTTGCCATCATGTCTTATGATGAGCCCAGAAATTTTTTCTCAAGCTCTAAAGCATCCAGAATGGCGTGAGGCCATGGCTCAAGAAATACAGGCACTAGAAGCAAACAAGACTTGGACTTTGGAAGCACTTCCACAGGGCAAGAAGCTGGTTGGATGTAAATGGGTATATAAAATTATGTATAACGCAAATGGTGAGATAGATAAATATAAAGCATGTCTCATTGCTAAAGGATACACTCAAGTTGAGGGTGAGGACTTTAGAGAGACCTTTGCTCTAGTTGCAAAAATGACAATAGTGCGTTGTTTATTAATAGTAGCAGCGACCAAAGGTTGGAAACTACATCAAATGGATGTTAGCAATGCATTCCTTCATAGGGAGTTAGATGAAGAAGTCTATATGGCAATTCCTCTTGGATATGCAATCACCAATACCAAACATGTGTGTCGCTTAAGGAAGTCCATATACGGATTAAAACAAGCATCAAGGAGTTGGTATACAAAATCGTCACGAGCATTGATACAGTATGGTTTCCAACAATGTCATTCTGATCATAGTCTGTTCACATACATTTTTGGGGATATTTTTCTTGCCACACTGGTTTTCGTGGATGACTTAATCATTGCTAGCAATGATTCTAGTACATTTGCTAGTTTCAAAGACTATCTCAGTAAATGCTTTCACATGAAAGATCTTGGGAAACTTAAATATTTCCTTGGCCTTGAGCTCTCATATGGAAACACAATTTTGTTTTTATGCCAACACAAATATACTCTTGACATTTTAAAGGAGTGTGGAATGTTAGATTACAAACCTTCAAGTTTTCCTATGGAACAACATCATGGTTTGGGAAGTGACACGAGGGAGCTATATTCAAACCCTTCTCAATATAGACGATTACTTGGTCGATTCATCTATCTTACAATCACTCGGCCAGAGATTGCCTACTCTATTCACATTTTAAGTCAATTCTTGCAAGATCCTAGAGAGGCACATTGGGAGGCAGCAACACGCATCTTTCGTTACTTAAATCATCATCAGGATAAGGTATCATGATACTCGTCAATAATAATTTGCAACTCGAAGGTTTTTGTGATTCGGATTGAGCCTCTTGTCCCACTACAAGGCAATCCATTTCTAGTTATATTATCAAGCTAGGCTTAGTGCCCATATCATGGAAAATGAAGAAACAAACTACTGTTTCAAGATCCTCTAGTGAGGCTAAATATAGGGCAATGGCACATGCTACTAGTGAAATTATTTGGTTAAGGGGTTTGTTATGTGAACTTCAAGTTCCTTGTCAAGGTCCCACAACATTATTTTGTATAATCAGTCTACGATTCATATAGCAGCAAATCCAATTTTTCATAAGAGAACCAAGCACATTGAGATTGATTGCCATTTTATTAGAGAACATATACAAGTCGGTACAATTGTTGCAACTTACTTGCCGACGAGGCAACAACTTGCAGATATATTCACAAAGGCATTAGGATGCAAACTTTTTCATGAGCTATTATCCAAGTTGGGAGTTCATGATCTTCACTCTCCAACTTGAGGGAAGATAATGGAGATATTATCATTAGTTTGTTATCAGTTTGATTATATCATTAGTTTGTTATGTTTAGATTAGTTTGATAAATCTATATTTTGAATTTGTATTTTAAATCTTTTGTACTCTTTTTGAATAAGATAATTCAAAGTGGTTACAACTTTGTTACCACTAACATGTATTTATATTGATTATTATTCATGAATAAAAGTAACTTCCTCATTTATAAACTTATTAGAGAAAGAGAGCATAAGAGAGAAAACATAAAAGAGAAGTAATCACTATGTAAATGGGAAAAAAAAATAAAGAAGAGAGGTGATGACAACGAAAAGGAAAAGGGGTGAAAGATAAAAAAAAAATGAAACACCAAATCATGATTGAAAATCACCACATAAGTAGTTGATGGTGATTGTTGTGAGTATCGTGAAAGATGAGTTGAAAAACAAGGGAAAGGAATTGGCTAATTAAATTACAAGTGAAAAATCACAGGAATTGGCTAATTAAGTTACAAGTAAAAAATCACAGCCATTAAATTTTTTAATATTATATTCAATGGCTATAATAGGTACTTCTTCAATGTGCCACCTATTTTACTGTTGCATTCTAGAATTTTTCTTAAAATTCTATTACTTTTTTTTTTCTTATCTCCTACTTTTTTCTATTTTGCTTCTTTTTTTCTCAAAATCATTCAACATCCAAACTATACATTAATAATTCTTTAACCATGGTATCTTTATCAAACAACTAAAAATACTAAACAACATAAATTAGCATATAGTCATATAAACATGTATGCTTTATGTATGAAAACATTGTGTTACACGTTGCATTAACACAATCTTTTGACTTAATTTTATTATTAAATTAAAAAACATTTACTACAAAAGAGAAAAAAGAAGAGGTGAAAGTGAAATAACATTGAACACGTTGATCACACGAGGCTAGAGTGGACAAAATCCTAGTATGTACTGTCTTAAATAATTTAGGAACCACCCAATAGATATTTTATTTTGGGTGGAATTGAGTGCTTGTGAATCTGCCAAATCAGCTTGCTTCAGTAGAATCAGTACCAATAGTCACGTACATGTTTGCTGTCTCCATGTCATTAACGATTGGCCAAACACAATGCCATCAAAACAAGCCTCTTAAGTCTTACCCACACACAAAGACAGAGTCACCCTCAAAGAAAAATTATTGTATGGTTGCAAATCACATGTTTATATTCTCATGTATTAAACCAAATCTCTGGATGTAGTAATTATATCTTAAAGTCTATTTTAAAATACGGATTGATTTATGCTTCTAAGTTTATTTTTATCTATATTAAAATAATATTTGTTGAATAAAAATTACGTCTCAATTAATTTTTAGTTGTCAGTAAATTATGTTCATTAAAAAAAATAAAAACAAGTCTTCGTAGTTAAAGTTCCAAACTATGGTCTATTGCAAAAATCAATCCACATTGTATGTACAGTTTTTTAAATTATTAAGAGAAGTTAATAAATTTCAATTAAGAACCTTTATAGTTTATACTCCTTTCACCGGATAATAATTTCTGCAAAACAAGGGTGCTACAAGGTTGGAGGAACTTGTCCATGGCTATGGCTGGAGCTTTGAGTCTCTCCCAATTTCCACTTTGTGGGTCTATTTCGTTGCCCAAAAGAGTACCCAGAAGAAGGTTTTGCGTCAGAGCCATGTCAGAAACCTCTTCAGTGAGCACCAAACAAGAACCAACTTCTGATGCTTCTTCAGTCACAATTTCTCCACCTCCCAACTTCAAGCCCCCTGAGCCTAAACGCTTTGCAATCAGACCTGACAAGACTACTGAAGTGCTTGGAGCTTTGCTTCCTTTGCTCTTTCGCTTTGCCACTGGAGTTTTCGTTGATGGGTAAGTAAACCATGCTCCTTTGCTTCATATGGGTTTCTCTTTTGCTCTATTCTGGTTTCAGTTTTGCCACCAGCATGCCTAAGCTCCAAGACTTTGTTTGTTTTCTAGTTTTCTAAAATTTGTGAAAGTGTTTGTCCCATGAGCATATTACTGTTTTCTAGAAATTTGTTGAGAACTTGAAGAAGAGAATGACAAACATCTCCCAACTTTTTCTTGGTTTGTAAATCACTTGTGTACCATAAAGCACCTGAATCCACTGGTACAACTTGTTTCAACTTAGTGGTCTTGAGTTTGAGTCTTCTATAAGCAATTAAGTTAAATACATAGAGAAAGAGCTTTTCGCTTATACAAGTTCTTCCAAACTCGAACATGATTGCCTCGAGGAGATGAAGCACCTGAATCCACTGGTACAACTTGTTTCAGCTTAACTAGGAATCTTGAGTTTGAGTCTATGTACGCAATTAAATTAAATACTTAGAGAAAGAACTTTGCAATTTATATTGGTTTTACCAGACTCGAACAAGATTGCCTCAAGGAGATAAAGCATCTGAATCCACTGGTATAAATTGATTTTGGATGAGAGATTGATTGAAGAGTAATGTAGAGTTCTTTAGAAAATAGTTTTTAAAACAAAAAAGTAAGAAGTGAATCAAACAAGCCCTTAGTATACTGGGCTGTGACACTAAATTTTCTTAAAGGCATTTGAGGTCAAATTCCTAGTCCGCATCTAGTTTGTGCATAGTATTGCATGGTCAGAGATGTTGATAGTTATCAGTTGAAGTGTCTATGTAGGAAGAGTGGTGGTAAAATATTTCCAGTGGCTTGAGTTGGTTATGTGCTTGTATGATGTTTTTAACATAAGTGCAATACAGAGAGAAAACATCTGGTAAATGGTTGCATAGGAAATATTTGATGTTTCAATTAGATTCAAGAACTGCTAGAGGGATCTGACATGGTTGGTGTTAGCGTTATGGCTATTCTGATAGAAGGATCATATGATACTGTGAAATGAAAGATTAGTTGGACTTGGCTTCCCGTGAAAGATGTTATATTTTGACTTTAGAATGCTATGTCATGATATTGTTGTCAGCATATATATATATATATATATATATATAGTTATACACACACACATTCTGAGATTGGATAAAATTTTAAATTTTTGTGCTTTTATTGTGCTATGCAGGTATTCTTTTTCATTTGTTTCTAAGGATGAAATTCCTCCAGACCAATTTGCTTTGGAAATTAATGGTAGCACCTATATTCTCTTATTACTGCCCATTATTTTGCATACCAGGTTAATTAGGTCATTTGTCAAATAGTCATTAAATATCTGGTTGACTTGCAACTGTGACATATAGAAAGAGAACAAACACGATTACCTATTATTATCTGGATCACTAATTTTCCTTTGGGTAGTTCTTCCATGAAATTTGGCTACAAAGATACATTTCTGTGTGTAATTCTAAGAAAGATCTCTTAAGCTGTCTTAATCATAAAGAAATATCAGCTGATATTTAAAATTATACATATCTCAAGAGGCAGTGCTTACAGAGTTCCAAAATGAAATTACAAATGCCTCTTGCCGATAAATTGGCGCTGTGAAAATGTAAGATTTTGTTTTGAGTGATAGTATCTCTGCACTTTGAAAAGGGGTAGAGGGAGACTAAGGAGATTGGAAAAAAATATTTAAAGGGATTGCATGGTGAATGATGTCCCCAAAAGTTTGTTTTTACACTGAGTCCATTGGCATATTGTGTGATCCATGTTGTTGACCTCACTTGGTGGAACAAGGATATTGTTATTGTTGCTGTGTGTTCCTTATTTTTCTTGTTAACATTAGTAGTATGATTTCAGGCATTACGGTAAAAGAAACAGCAAAATTAGGCCCTCGCCCTGAGAAGCCTATTGAGATATATGAATTTGAGAGGTACTTTATTTTCCCTGACAGTTATTGAAAAATGCTGGATTTAGTCTCTTTGCATTTATACATGGACTAAATACTTCCTTATTCCTTTTTATCCCTTTACATTAGACTTTTGGCTTTTTACATGCCGCATTACAGAATTAACTGATTCCAAGTATTGTTTTGTTCTTTGATTATGTGCCTTCTTGGATCATGTGCAGCTGTCCATTTTGTCGAAAGGTATGAATTGTGTTTTGGATTCAAATAAACTTTTCAAGTTTTTTTCATGAGAATTCATTTCGTGTAAACATCTGTGATGGGGTTACTGTTAGGGAAACTTTTGGGGGAAGCGGGTGTTATGAATATTTGTAGTTCTAGGAATTAAACAAGAATTCGAAGAACATAGAGAAAAAAAGGGAACCTTACGGATGAAAAGGTCCCAAACGATTTGAGATTTTCATTGAGCTACAAAAGTGATTATTGAATTAGTTAGCTTCCTACTTGTAGCTATCTAACTAACCGAACAGTTTTCTTCCGTAATTGGAATTGCACAATTTAATATCCTAACTAAATGACATGTCTACAAAGATCCAGCCCCTCACTGTATATGTTTTATTTCATATCAGGGGGTGGGGGGCTACAATTCAGGTAGTTAGCTGGATACACTCTTGTTATTGTGTGAAGTGTAAGTCACCAAAATGGATTTTCATGATAAGTCATAACCTCTTACTATCATTGAAATGTTAAACAGTCATTATGCTCATCTTTTGATTCTTGGAATTTGAGTGTGGAGATTAGCGCAGCTGTTCATTGGACAAAGAATAAACTCTAATTATGCTCTCCACAGTCAGGATAATTGCTATAGTTTCCTTTCCTTTTATTTGTTGGGGGAGAATATCAGTCATAATCACTAAGTTGGATCTTCAAAATCCGACTTATTGATAGTCTAATAGCTGCATTCTTCTATTATATTAGCAAGCCTTTGAACCACTAGGTTCAGTCTAATGGTATTGTACAAAAAAAAAAATATTGTCAAGTCTTTTGTTGTGGGATAATATTTGACTCCATACAGGTTCGAGAAATTGTTGCTATTTTGGACATTGATGTTCTTTTCTATCCTTGTCCAAGAAATGGCCCAAATTTCCGTCCGAAGGTTCTTCAAATGGGTGGAAAACTGCAGTTCCCCTACATGGTAAGATTGATTCCTTAAATCATAGTTTTTTGAGTAAATTACACTGACACCCTTTGAATTTCTATAAAATTGCACTAACACTCCTTTCTTTCTTTTTTTTTTTAAGGTTTACAGTAACCTCCTCTATAAGGGTCACAATGTAATGTTTTTCAAATAGTTAAGGGGGTTAAAGTAATGTATAAAGGGTGCTAGTGTAATGTTTTTTAAACAATTAAGGGAGGTTATTGTAAGGGTATAAAAAAGCAAGAGGTGTTAGTACAATTTCGTAGAACTTTAGGGGGTGTCAGAGTAATTTACTCTAATTTTTTCTTATGATTTCTGTTGCATTTTAAAAGGGATGAGGTTAAAGTCCATGCAAATCTAAACTAGTTTGATGAAATTAATGCAAAAACTATCCTGTAGTTGTTCATGAGATATGTGGCATCTTACACCATCATCTATATTGAAAATTGGCTCATAAGTTTTATAGAAAAATGTAACCTAGAATGAGGTCCAGGTATCAGATGCTCCTGGAAAGGAAGGAAGCTGAAGTCAAAACTTAGATCTGATAGGGTTCTGGAGGAGCTAGACTATGGGACATTTTCCTATGGATAAACTACTTTTTGTATTATGTTCATATAAATAACGTTCGATGATGTGTACTGAATTAAATCAAGAAGCATAAACAATGATCTAAAGTTGCAGTAAAATTTTCTCCTTAGAGGTTGCTGCTGAAAGCTTTGCCTTACAACAGTTTTTTTTCTAGTAATCTATGTATCTGTCATCACTTTTCTTATCTTGCCTCTTGATGATTACACAGTGAGTGAGAACTGAGAAATAACATTTTTCTCTAACTTTTTTATTGGTTTCAGGTTGACCCAAACACAGGCGTTTCAATGTATGAATCAGATGACATCATTCGATATTTGGTTGACAAATATGGTTTGTGTCTTCATGTATACCCTTTTCTGTTAAGTGCTAATGCTATGTCATCATTTTTTTTTTTCTGTTGCATTTCAATCTATAAAATATAATTATATAAATAAGAGAGAAACGATTACCACCTATACATTTCAGAAATGTGTATTTTATCACTTACAAGCATAAAAACAAGCTCAAAAACGTTTTTGAGACATTTTCTACTAAAAACAAAACTTTATTTTCAATAAAGAAACCATCAAAATCGTATTTAACTTGTATCCAAACGGATTCAAACTACTGTAACATTGTTGAAGTACTTTCTTTTAATCTTTTAAGAGCTTTGATTTTTCATGCAAGGTTTAAGTGAATACTGATTTTGCGTGCTTCAAAGTATCCCATTTTTTGGTCTTTTGTCTGTTATGTAGGTGATGGAAACGTCCCTTTATCTTTATCACTTGGATTTATAACGGTTAGAACCTGACACCATCATCAATGGTTGTTCACCAGACAGTTAAATAGCATCATTGATGTTAAGATATAGGGCTATCTTTTTCTGCAGGCACTAACTGCTGGTCTTGCTATGCTTAGTCGTATTTCAAAGGTATTGTTTAACAGTCTATCTCGGTTCCTTTAATTTAAGTAGGAGTGTCAAGTGTTAACTAAAGTTTATTGAAAATCCTTTCTAAAAAATCAGTGCAAGTAATTATTAGCATGTGCTAGTAATCCTTTCGTTTTTAGTTGTAATTGAGATATCAGTTTTATCAGTATAAAGAATACTATAAATATTTTTATTTTTGTTTTCAGGGGACAACTTATACTCCAGCAAAGTTCCCTCCAAAGCCACTTAAATTATGGGCATATGAGGTTGGTCGACAACATGCAAACTATACATCCTAATGCTTAATGAATTCAGGATTTTTATTATAGATCAGCATGCATGATAATGTAGCAATTATCTGCTGCTACAGAATTTGAAATTTGAAATACTTGTTTCTTTCAGGGGTCTCCTTTCTGCAAACTTGTGCGTGAAGTACTTGTGGAATTGGAGCTGCCACACCTGCTTATAAGGTAAAACCCATGTTTCTGAGCAACCAACTATTAGATTTGATTCCCAATAAGAAGCTTTTGGGGGGTTTATTATTCAAAACTTTATTTCTTGCATTTACTGTTATGTTATGTGACTATATTTAAGGTCTGTTTAGGTAAACTTTATCAGAAACACTTTTATAAGAGCCAAATAAAAAGGAATAATGATAAGTTTATTCATAAATTAAAATTAGCTCATGCATAAGTTATTTTGTAAAAGTTATCTTTAATTAACTTATCCTAAATCTTCTTTTTAACTCTTGCATAAGCTATTTTTATCTTACTAAGAAGTTTATTTGATTTTCCTTCCTATTTTTCTTTTTCAAGAAGTATTTTTGGAGATTTTTATCTAAATAGACTCTTATCTTCTTATGGAGCATTCTTTGATCTTATGGAATTTTTTGCCCTTGTACGAAGAATTTTTACAATTTTAATGAACATATAGCTACTAGCTCTAATAATTATACTTTTCATCAAAGATTAATAAATCAAAATAGTAGTTGTATTTTATATAAACTGTGGGGCATAAAGGAGGCCTAATGCATGCAACCTTTAATTTAACTCCATATGCAGATAGGCTACTTCCATGACAATAAATTAGAACCCGTGATCACATCCCACAAAGAGGAAAACTCATCCTCTACATTAATTAGAAGAAAAAAAATATATATTTTTACATTGTCTCATTGAATATTACTAAATGTATAATCACTTGAGTCGCCCTAATGGTGAGAGGTTGGCAAAGTATACAACGAATCTTAAGTTCAAATTTTTGTACTGCAATTCTTACATATACATATATATATATATTAATATCATCTTCTAGGTTTAATTTTCATTTGTGATTTATAGTTCAATTATCATGGGTATTGTATAGTTGACAATATCCCAAATTCCCAATATGTATATTTATTACGAATATTTTGTGTTTTCATGATACTTACTTGAATGTTTCATTTTAGTTGTGCTAGGGGTAGCCCAAAAAGACATATACTATATCAGAAAACTGGAGTTTTCCAGGTACTTAGATTTTTCAACTAGTTAATGTGAAAACACAGTCATTTCATGCATGTTATATGGCTTGTGGATGATGAGTTGATGGTTATGGTTCACAGGCACCCTTTTTGGAAGATCCAAACACTGGAATAGAAATGTTTGAAAGTGCAGAAATCATAGAGTACCTTAAAGCAACTTACGCTCTTTAGAAAGTGATGTTATGAGAGGGAGAGGCTTTTGGGTTTTTTTTTTTTTTTTTTTTTTTTTTTTTTTTCTTAACTCAATCTTATGCGCCTTCATTTCCTCTTGTAAATTCTAATACGAATAAATCATTTTCTTATATGGAAAGTTCAAATAGTGGAATCAAGTGTCTCAATAAATTCGACAGTAGTTTGAGGGGGTTAAAATTGAGGGTTGCATTGCAAAGTAGGAGTAAGATTAATTCTTCTTATTCTTCTTTATTATTAGTGGGGAAGAGGCTACCTCTATATATTTTATTTAAATAAAAAGGTAAAAAATAATAATAATAACAAAAGAAAGGAATTTAAAGGAGTAGTGTGTTATTGTTAGTATAAGATTTCAGTATTCACTCTATGTGTAGAATATTGTTGCTATTATTATTACTATAACCGGTATTATTATTATTATAAGAAGAAAATAGTCATTTTATGTCACTTGTTTTTCTTATAAATAAATATAAACTAAAAAAATATGATACATGATTATTTAAAATAGAGTAAGAAGTTTTGGTAAAGTAGAAAAATGAAATTAAATAAAAAAAATGGAAGATAAATTTATTATTAGTATAGATAGATAATTATTATTATTAATTCTTTTGAATAGAATAATTATAATTAGGTAAAATTTATTATAAATCAAAAAATTAGTCTCAATTCTTATTTAATGATCTTCGTTGGTAATTATACAATTTTTAATAAATTTTAATGGATAATAAATGTGAAAGGTGGTATTTCTATCTCTTAACAAAAGTTACTCGTATTTTTAAGAAAATAAATCGGTAATGTTAAATATAAAGTGAAAATTATAATATATAATATATAATTGAGTTTTTTTTTTCTTAATCATAATATGTCTCATTGTTAACAAACAAGAGTTGACTTTCTTTCTTTCTCTTTATATCTATTCTCTTTCATATTCTTTTCATTCTATATTATTTTATAGTCTCAAAACTAAATTATGAGCTTGTATATATTAACTACTATAAAATTCTTTGTGGTGTGTCGTCATTGTTAACTTTTTTTTGTTGTTGCAACAAATTGACAATTTAATGTAAAAGTTTAAAAATAAGCAATTATGAACTATTATTTCATCTCATTGTCTTTAGTCATCAAAGACTCATTATTAATTGATTCATAGGTTTTAATTTAATTTTTTTCTATACTTGTTTAATTATTTAAGTTTGAATATATTGTTTAGAAAATAAACTTATGACCATCTAAAATGAAAAATAAAGAAATAAATTGACATTGATTTTTAAAATGGTGTTTTGATAATTTTTTTTATTAGACATCCTATAATTATTCTTTAAAATGATACAAATTTAGTTATTTTAGATTGCAAAGCTAAAAAATTTTAAGATGAAGAACGGTATAAAAATAATATAAAAAAAAGTCTAATATTTTAGTTGAAAATAGTGAAAATAAAAATAATTATGTAATAAAAATAAATATTTTAATTATGAACTAATCCGTATAATTCATAAGACATTTTAGTTCCAGTAACATAAAATAATCTTCGAAATGACTTATGAGATAAATTACTAAAAAAAATAGTCTTAAAAGTGTTATATACATGTTTATCATGAATGTTCTTAAAGATATTTTTTATATATTAATAATTTTATAATAAAAAAATAATACTCAAATAATTGAGAGTTTTTTTTATTCAGTTTTAAAAATAATTGGTTTACTTGCTCTTTACCATGTGTTTAAGAGAAATATGAGAAGAAGAAAAAAGAAGAAGATAGAGTTGCACTAATTGTTAGAAAGAGATTTAATTTAGTATGTTGTAAGTAATTAATTCCAAATTATTTCTGTAAAAAAGAAAACCTCCAAATTAAGATTTTCCTTCAACTTTTATGAAATATTTCTATATGGTGATCTGCAAGAATGTTTGGATCCTATTTAAGAGCAAGGCATGTTGCTAGTTTTGATACATTTTAGATAAGATGTAATATTAACAATACAATAAATACTTTAAAATTAAAAATAGATCAATCAGTAACAATTAATTAAACATAAAGAGTAAGTTAAAATAATAAATAACAAGATTATAGTAATCTGGGTTGAAATACACAGAGCGTCATCTTTAGAGAAAAAACGCCCCACTACATTGATAATTTTAAATTTTATAGTACGTTTCTCCTCCAAGATACATCAACTCATTAGATCGTTCGAGTACATCAAAAGATCCCTAACTAAAGAACAATGTTCTAAAAAAAATATTTTAGTAATAGAAATAAAAAAAAAATATTTTAATAGTAAAGATAATTTTAAGAGAGAAATAAATGAACTTGTTAAGTATGTATTTTTCTTTTACTTAGGCACATATATAGATGCAGCCACATGTGCTTTGTTCCGAAAATATTTTTTAAAAATTGGACCCATGTATTGATCCTAAAAGTAAGCAACATGCATACCAATAATATGCAGCAAGTCTTTCGGAAAATGAAATTGTACCATGCCTTTTGGTTAAAATAACATTCAAAAATGTTATTGTTATGTCGTTAGAAGGAATTGATAAAAATTAAGGAGACTTGGTCTACCGATGTGCACACATGAGAGAGAATAAGATTGATAAATACTAAACAATTATATATATACATATATTTAAATATTAAACTAAAATATTAATTCTTAACACCCCCACTAATTTAAAATTTAAATATGGAAAATGATAATATATATATAAATTTAAAACATTTTAATAGAGCATGATATATTATATTTTTAGTATAAGGAACCTTCCTATACCTAGTGCCTAAGAACTTTCATATGAGAAAGTATGGAGACATGATTGTCTTGAGTCATATCTCTTTGAGCAAATTTTAGAACATAACACATAATAAAGGTGTTCATTTGAGTTCTAATCAGTAGAGTGCATTACATCCTTGCGCATGTATCTTGTTTTGTGAGTATCACTTAGAGATTGCTCATATCTCACAGTAGTGGCCCCACCACCACACTCACTAGGTGAACCCTTCCAAGAGTGGTCTATGACACCCATCCGTACAACAATTGTCATTGTGTCCATTAAGAAATATTTTTAATTCTAACACAATAAATATAAATATTTGAATACCTCAACCTTATTATTGTCACAATTTAATTTAGATCTCACCTCACCATAGGAATCTAACATGCAATAATTTTGCAATGTACATTGGTATACTTTAGTTAACAAACAATTTCGTTATTACCCATTAAACTCCTTCACGGGATCACCATTTATGTGGAGACGAGTGTCCATTGTTGTAACTATTTAATCGACTTTAGTCTCATTCCCCTCACGATTTAAGTACTTGTTAACGCATCAACCCTTTTGTAAGTGGATCTGCAAGATTATTTTTAGAGTTGATAAAATCAACAGAAATAACACCATGAGTTATCAAATTTCTGATCTTATTCTCAAGTGCCTTCTTTTTTATTAAAGTTTTTGCTAGTAACTTTAGCAATAGCAACTTGACTATCACATTGCATTGGGATTGGAGGTATAGGTTTATTTAACAAGGGCAAGTCATATAATAAACTTTTAAGAAATTCAGTCTCACTACTAGTAGTATCTAAGGCAATTATTTTAGCTTCTATAGTAGAACGAGAAATAATAGTTTATTTTGCAAATTTCAAGCTATTGCACCTCTAGATAAAGTAAAGACATAACCACTAGTAGATTTAGTTTCATCATAGTTAGAAATTCAATTTGCATCACTAAAACCTTCAATTACAGTAAGATAACATGCATAGTGATCAGTGTCATAATTTATAGTTCCTTTAAGATATTTAAATAACCTTTCTAGAGTAAGCCAATGTGAATGATCAAGATTATGAGTATATTTTCCTAATCTACCAACAATATATGCGATGTACGATCTAGAGTAATTAGACAAATGCAACAAGAGGAACCAATAATTTGAGAGTATTTAAAAGGAGGGACACTTTCACCAATATTTTTCTTCAATTTAATATTAAAATCAAATGGGGTAGAAACTGGTTTCACATCAAAATAATTAATCTTTTTTAAAAAAATTTCAATATAATGTGATTGTGTCAAAATAATACTATCATGATTCTTAATTAACTTAATGCCTAAAATAACATTAAAAAGGCCAAGATCCTTCGTTTCAAAATTACTAGACAAGAAAGACTTCACATCATTTATACATGTAGATTACTACCAAAGATTAAAATATCATCCACATAGACATAAAATAACACATGAATTATCATCAAATTGTTTCACATAAACACATTTATCACTATTATTAAACTGAAACTCATATGATGAAACAATTTGATCAAATTTATCATGTCAATGTTTAGGTGCCTATTTTAAACCATACAAGGATTTAACAAGTTTGCAAACTTTATTTTCCATTCCAAGTTCTATAAAACTTTCGAGTTGATTCATCTAAATTTCGTATTCCAAGTTACCATTTAAGAAGGCAATTTTTACATCCATTTGATGAATTTCCAAATTAAAAACACAAGCAAGTGCAATTAAAACTCTAATAGTAGTAACTTTAGAAATAGGAGAATATGTATCAAATAAATCTACACCTTCTACTTGTATATAACCAATAACAATAAGTTTTGCCTTAAACTTATCTATGGAACCATCCATTCTTAATTTTTTTCTTCATAAAACTCATTTACAACCTATACTTTTGCAACCAGGAGGAAGGTAAATCAAAAACCAAGTTTTATTGACTTTAAGAGAATCTATTTCATCATTAATGACTGCTTTCCAAAAAGGCGTATCAATAGATCTCATGGCTTCACTATAAGTTTTAGGATCATTTTCAAGTAAGAAAAAACAAAATTTAGGACTAAAATCTTTAGTTTTTCCAATTCTTTTACTTATTCTTGGTACAACATCCTTGTTAACATTACTACTAGAGGGTAAAACAAAATTAGAAGTATCATAAATAGGTTTAGACATTTTATTCTTCAAAGAAAAATATTTTCAAAAAAAAAATAATATCTCTAGATACCATAATTATATTATTAGAAATTTCAACTTCAGAATTAATAACTAAAAATTTATAAGTAGTATTATGTAAAGAATATCCCAAAACAATATAATCAACAATCTTAGGACCAATTTTTCTTTTCTTATTAATAGAA